CCTTGACATAAGTAAAGCTAAGTGAGCATTACCTTGGTTGAGATGGGAAAGAAAACCAAAATCTAAGCTTTTTGAACATCTGTATATTAAGCAATTAATGAAGCTCTTAAAATCTTATTTAATACATCATATCAGTATGATGTATTAATATTCCCATTTCCAGATCAAGAAATTGAGGCTTAGGGATGCTGCATAACTTGTACAATATCACACAGTTTGTCATTTGGATTCTTGCATGCCTGATTCTATAATCTTCCCCTATTTTTCTATATCCTGCTGCCTCTTGGTTTGTGGGTAGTTAAACTAGGTCTTTGGGTTTGTGGGCACTGAAATGGCAGAGAATGAAAGGTACTCATGGATTTGGGCAGTAAAGAAAAAGAATCATATTCTGATTTTTAATAGGAGCCCCACATCTCCCTGCTGCTGTCATGCTTGGCTTTGCTGAGGCCCACCACAAGTTTTATGGTCAGCTGTCCTCACATGCTGAGGGAAGAGAAGCCTGTGGTATGCTGGGGTCCCTGAGCTCATTGCCAGCATGCAGGCAGCCCAGTGGGTCTTCCTGGCTAGATCCAATGGACATAGCAGCCCATACTTCAGGCAGCTCAGCCTCAGCATAAATTGGGTTTAGACACAAAGGCTAGGGTTGTTTAGAATACCGTGCCAGAATATAAAATGGGCCAATCAGGTTTGAGCGCCTACCAGTGCCTTTTGAAAATTTGAGACTACTCAAGAATTATAAACAGACCAATCAAATTCTAGCTCAACTGGGACCAATCAAGTCTATGAAATTATAAATAGGCCAATCAAGCTTGAAAGACAGGTTCTCTGGATGCAGTATAAGCCAAGGTTTCAGAGGTCTTCAGACCTCCTTGGGTCTCTGACACCTTTACATATGACCTCTGCTTCAAACGTTACCCTGATTGCTGCTCCTGCCTCAATGCTCTGCCTCTCACATTGTGCAGACTGGCACCATCGGCCTGTGCTCAGAGTCTCTGAAGCAGTTGTACACTGGTAACTGGCCCTCTGACCAATGAGTGGCACAGCTGGCCTGTGTCCAGCCATCTCTAAAAGGCGATTATCTTTGCTTCTGACTTCCAGCAACGCCTCTTGGTGCTTTTGCCTCTGGTGCTGCCTGGTGTGCTTTTTGGATAGATGCTTCTGGCTGCTGAGTTGCTATCTCAGCAGCACCACCTGTGATCACCTGCAACTGTCACTGTGAGTTGGATCCAGTCCACTGCTCATCAGCGTGCAACCTCTCAAAGGGACAGTGCCATCTTGATGAGAAGCCTTTGATTTGAATCCCAGGGCATTATCTGGAATGGGAAAACTGGCTATTTGTGGCCCTAGAAACTCTTTCCTTTCCCCTAATTTCTGCTTTGCTAGTAAACCTTGTTGCTTTTACACCCTGAACCTGAGTTGTCTCTTGAAGTTGTAAGTGCATGGGTTAAAACCCATAAACTCTGCCATCCCCTGGCCTTTGCACTACATTCACTTAGTCAGCTTTGGTTGAATATTCTCTTGTGCATTTAATTGTCATAAAATATAACCCCATGAAAAATACATGCAGGTAGGTGAAAAACATATGATGTAAATGAAAACCTGTTTACATCTTCAGAATAATGTTGAATGGTAGTGACACCAATGTGGTTATAGTCTGGGAACTTGAAACTATTTTAGGTCTCAAACCAAAAGCCTTTGAAGGTGCTTTCAAAAATTATGAGCATATTTTCTTCTCTTGCTCATGAAACTAATTTGTCAGATGGAGTTCTGCGAATGTTGGGGTCACAGATCAGAGATGACTGACTCCTGTGTGGTAAGTTTGCAGCTGGAAATCATGCTTTGGCAAGAATATGAATAAATTTTGTCTTGTAGAAAGAGAAAAATATTATCTTATTCCAACCAGATAGTTTGTTAGAATAACTGTATGCATTTTAGTATTCAAATACAGATGTTCCAAAAATTTTCTATGTGGAAAGCAGCTGCTGCTATTCTAGCACAGAAATCTCAAAGAGATTAATATACAAAGGCTGCATGAACTTTTGTGGCAATGCAGCATCTGCTTGAGGTGGGGGCCTATTCTCCAGAGATAGTGGGCCTTCAGATTCCCACTAATAGCCTGAAACCATGTTTCAGATCTCAGCTTATTCTACAGGAACAAAGACAAGTGATTAATTTGTAATTCACTTAGCTGATAAATATCATCAAATGTTACTTGCCCAGGGACTGTAAAACACTGGACTTTATTTCCTGTGACAACTGATAGGAATATAGTTGTTCGTTCATAATTACTGATGTTTTCAGTTGCTGTTACTAACTTCTGCTCAGCAACATAGGTCAGCCCAGCCAGCTTGCAATCCTGAAACATCCATCGTCATCTTTGTAATGCATTTGTGAGAACCTGACAGTTTACTGAGGATACTCACAAGCACCGTTTCATCTGATCCCCTCCTAGCCCTGGGAAGCATACATGCTATTAGTGTGCAGCACAATTTATGAATCCAAAAACATGGGTAAAGAAATAAAATGATTTATCAGAGTTACAATCAGGGACTCTTAACTCCAAATCCTGTTCTATTCTTATATCAAGTTGACACTTGCAGTTACATGCTATGAGGTGTGTTCCATAAATTGCATCAAATTTTCAAGAGATGCTGGTTTCCAGGACACCTACCATGACAAATCCTGGCTTGATGGTACTTCCAGAGAAGAGCTAATGTACCATTCCCTCTTTCCTTCAAACCCCAGAAAGGAAATTCCCTTTCCTTATGTTCACAGAGCTTCAGCAAACGAGCTCCTATGTCTCCCTGGCATTTAGAGAAATGAAGAGCCAGAAGCTGAAGATCCCAGGGCTGTCATTTGGAGTTGCCATAAACCATAAGTTTCTAAGAACAGTGATGCTTGGAGTGTTGTGCTTGCCCCAGGCCTTATAAATCAATTCCCTGCAGTGCTTAGGAGCTCATTGCCTTCAACCAAAGCCACTGTTTGGCATTATCTAGTGAATTATTTATGTTTTACACATTTGACAGGGCCTCATGGCTGAGTTTGAAAACACTCATTCCCTGGCTTACTGCTGGGGCCTAGAAATGTCTGTCTAGAATATCAAGTCTCAGAGAAGTGTAGTTGCTAAAATTCCCAGAGCAAATGAAGGGCAGTGCAGGTTTGAACCAACTATGAGTTACACTGGCTCCATAATGAAAGAGCCCTGTGTTTTTCTTAGAAGACAGTAAAGTTTTGTGGCAGGACAATTTGAAGACTGTGCCTTGCTTCCTAGCCAGGCTTGGGTAGAAAGAATCCAGAGTAAAGAAGGGAGGGCCAACTCTACTGCCAAAGCAGTAGAGGAAAGAGGCTGAGTCCCGAAGCTTCTAGCAAAAGAGGAAAAAGAGATTGTCAAGAGGCTCCTAAGAAGCTGGGGAGCTGATGCTAACACATGTCCACGTGACATGGTCTTTGGTGACATCATTGCTGCTTCTGTGAGAATCACACTAAACCATTGTGAATTTAATGGGATTGTTGCTACTCTCCTCCACTTGGAGAAAATAAAAAAGAAAATTTCTAAGTATCTATTTCCTCTCTATTTTCCTAAATCTTTTTGTTAGAACATCTGTGAAATGATAAAAGCAACTTAAAACAATATGGCACCCTTTGCAAATACACAGTTTGCAAGCATAGTAAAAATGGTCAGTGTTTCAGGCATTTTGATCAAGAATGCTATTTCACAGGCAAAGAAATAGTATAGCAAATCACTCACATCTGTAAAATATTAAAGACAGTGTTCCGAAGTGTGTATAGAACACATCTCACAAAGAAATGTCTTTACTCCAGGTAGGACAACATTCACTCCCTCATTGTTATTCTCTAGACAGGCCCTCCTGAAGATCACTTGTCCACTTGTGACAAAGCACACCCTTTGTTCTGCCAGGACCATGTGTTCATGTTTGGAAGGGAGTATCATCATGCCTTCTGAGTTACAACACAGTATGAAGGAGGTGAGGGTAGGAAAGCCTCCAACTTTTAGGATTAAAAAAAAAAAAGACTTATCTTTTGTGTCTCCACAAAGGGGAAACTAAGACTAGCAGTTAAGACTGTATGCACTTGGTATGATGTCCATTCTTAATATTTTTGTCACTAAATGGTTCATGGTAGAGTGAACTATTTCAGAGCTACTTTTATTAAAACTTTAAAAAGGTTTGATTACTTTTTCTTTAGTTGAGAAATGCATGTGTGGTAAGCAGTATGAGGGAACTAGGAAGAAAGCACTTTTTTCTATATTGGGGGTCAGAAGAACTAGGCAAGAAAACCAAGCATGAATGAACCAATGTGGGCCTGCATTGGGGCAGTGAGCCCCAGTGGAGTCCTTCCTATGCAGAGGTTTAGGTTGTCAACCACTGCTTTTCTCTGGAGATCAGCCCACCACGGTAGCTATCATTGTGAATTCACATTGACAAAACCAAAATAAGAGAACAGGAAACTCCATTGAGGCCTGGGTCACAAAGTTACCTATCATCATTCTAAACATCTCTGCGCCATTAATATCCATTTACCTTGTGAGAAGACAAGACTGGAGAAATGCCCAGGAGTCCAAAGATCCAAGCATAGATTTCTCCTATGTTGTACTAGGTATAGTAATTAACTTTGGTTTTCTTCAACATATCCTCTTACTACAAAGGTTAATAGCTATCAACAGATAATACTCATAATATTAGAAATGTCAGTAAGTTCATATGATGAAGGTTATTTAGAACACAGCCTGTCTTATGAGATTAGGTGTCGAAAATTACTGTTTAAATTACCATTGTATCTCTCTCACTCTTTTATTTAAAAGTGCTTTCCATTTGCATGTGTTCTCTTCCATTTTTACCTAGGTCTGTGAAACACTGATAGAAGCAACAGTGGGACCTGGATTGCATAGTTACATCAACTCTTAACATTTTATCTGCAGAAACAAATCAAAGCCATTTTCTGATGTGCTTTCGTTTCTCTGCCTTATCCTTTTTTTCCAGGCAGCTTCATCAGCCCTGAGCAGTCTGGGCCATGTGTACACAGCCATTGGAGACTACCCCAATGCACTAGCCAGTCATAAACAATGTGTTCTTCTTGCCAAACAATCCAAAGATGAACTTTCCGAAGCCCGAGAACTCGGCAACATGGGAGCTGTGTATATTGCCATGGGTGACTTTGAGAATGCTGTGCAGTGCCATGAGCAGCATCTGAAGATAGCCAAGGACCTGGGGAACAAACGAGAAGAGGCTCGGGCCTACAGCAACCTGGGCAGTGCTTATCACTACAGGAGGAACTTTGATAAGGCCATGTCTTACCACAACTATGTGCTGGAGCTGGCACAGGAGTTAACAGAGAAGGCCATTGAGATGCGGGCCTATGCTGGCCTGGGCCATGCTGCCAGGTGCATGCAGGATCTGGAGAGGGCTAAACAGTACCATGAGCAGCAGTTGGGCATTGCTGAGGATCTCAAGGACCGGGCTGCAGAGGGGCGAGCATCCTCCAATCTGGGTAAGATTGAATTGCCTGCAGGATCCAGGGTGGATGTCATGGGCTGGAAATAGTTGTAGTAGCCCACTAGCTTTTACAGCAATCTGTGTGTTTAGATTCAAAAGACTCTCCTCAGAGTGTGTGCTGTATATTTCCTTCAGATATATTTCCTTGGAGTCTTCCTGCTCTAAATCACAGGTTCCTTACTGTCATCACAGTGCTTTAAAGACTCGAACTTTGAAATACTAGAGAAACAAAACACCCCAACCTTTTAATCTGTCTAGCAAGAAGAGCAACCAGATTTATCTAATTAGAGAGAAGGATGAAATAAGGATATAAAGCTATGTTTGGCTTAAATTAAAGAGAAACTGCTAGGAAGCCATCATGGCAAAGAATTTGAAGGGATTTTTTATTTAAACTGATTTCTTTATTTAGTGACTTTAACCCCACAGGAAGTGTACTTTTTTTTTCAGAAGTGATAGTGATAGTTTTAGTAAAAATTTAGCAAATGAGATTTAGCAAAATTATTTTTTGAAAGATCTGTTTAAATAAGACATTTGCAGTCCCTGTTTTGCTAGTACTTTGTTACAATTGAGATACTTAAAAATTTAGGGGAATTTACATATAATAGTAAGAAGTAGTAAAGATTGGTAAACTGGCTGTTTTTTAGAAGATACTGTTATCTTGTCTCTGGTTCAAATAGATGGGGGCATTTAATGACTGTAAGGAACACGTATGTTTGGAATTATAAGATGAATCCATCTCTGTTCCCACAGCCCCATGCTTCATTCTGTATCAACAGGACTCAGCATGTGGAGAAGACAAGAAGGTGGTGATCTTATCAGTGCTAGTTTGTGGTTATCAGATATTAGTAGCAACAGATGCTCACCCTCCTTTTTTTTTTTTATGCGACCCGCAAAACCTAGGTACCTCTATCTCTGTGTATATAATTTTAGCACTGTTCTTCCCTCCCCTCTACCTTTGCATATTGTATCCATGTTTCATGAATGTGATTATTAGGAAACATCTGGCAAATCCCTGGAGATGACTCTGAAGACTGAATTGAGATCAGAATGAGTCTAGAGAGTTTAAGAACCATAGAAACAAACTCTTGGCACCATATGGTCATTCAACAGATCACAATTATTTATTGAACCATTACTATGTGTTGAAGGCCTTAAGTGATAGAGAAGTTTTGTTTTTGATTTTTTTAAATCCTTACTTGCAAAAAACTTAATATTTTGTTGGGGAAATAAATACATAGGTCTATAGTGATCTCCCTGATATACAGAGTTAATGATATTATGTTGCCATGAAATTACTAGAAGGGAGACCTTGAGGCTGGTAACAGTCTGGAAAACTTCCTGGAAGATAGTAGACCCTGGTGAAATGGTGAGATCTGACCAGTGATGGTGTAGCATTAATGGGAAGGGACTGGTGAAACAAAGTATGAGATGCAGTAGGTTGGCATAGAGGCTGGGAGATGGTGGTGTGATTAACCTTCAGAAATGTGCTGGAGGGCGGTAAAAGGTTAATATGGAAGCTAGGAAGGGAACATGCTACTGGCCAGAACTGGTGAAGGTTTTGAAATGTGGGAGTAAGAAGGTAGGCTCCATGTTCAAGGAAAACAAGTCAGTGGGAAGTGGGATGCGTAGGAGGGCTTGCAATGTGAAGTTTAGAAGACTGTGGGTGCTGGACTAGATTCCCTTTTTTATCTTGTGTCAGTTTTTTTTGTTTGTTTGTTTTTAAGATTATGCATACAGAACTGGGGTATGGGCTAGAGGCACAGAGACAGTGAGGGGCCTCACCACAGACAGAGTGAGGAGCAGAACAGGCAGTCTGATGAAGTCACACTGCTGAGGGGAGCAGCAGGCGAAGCAAGTGAGGTCTGCTGCACCAGGTTGGTCACCTCTGGGGCAGGGGATTGAACTCACACTGAAGTGGCTGTGGCTCGCTTACAGTGCTGTGCTTAACCTGCTGGCCACCAGAGAGGGCCTCAGTTTTGATGTTGTATTTTCCAGAGGCCATTCATGTAATTTACTGATTAATCGCACAAAGTTATTTAAAATATGTCCATATTTTATTTTTAATATTTATAGGATGATAATGGTAATGCCTTCTTTTGTTTCTATTTTTGGTAGTTTGCATTTTGTACCTATCCCTGTTTCTCGATCATTTTAGCTAGACATTTATCAATTTTCTTGATCTTGCTAAAGAATCCATTTTTACTTTCCTTATTTTTTCCCCTAATTGCTTATCTCTTTATTTCCCAGTTATATTTTATTACTTTCTTATTTTTATTAGTTTGGGTTCTCTTTCTAGTTTTGCGAAGTAGAGCTTTGGTCATTGATTCTAGATAGTTCTTTCTAATGCAATAATTTTAAAATAAAAATTTCCCCTAAACACTACTTTTACTGCCTCTAATAATTGATATAGCATGTCTTAACCATCCTTGGATTCAAATTATGTCTAAAATCTGTTGTGATTGCCTTTAAGTCCTATGTTTAATTTTAAAATATTTGCAATTTTCATGGATACTTTGCTGTTATCAGATTCCAGTTTAATTGCAGTGTGAGCAGAGAACATACATGGAAGTATTTTACCTTGTGTAATGTTCTATAGAGGTCAGGTGATTTTGTTCTGATCATCTTTTTCATTGTTGATTCATTCTATTTATATGTTTGATCTAAGAAAGAGGTGTTTAAAATCTCTAACCATTATTGTGGACCTGTCCTTCCCTACTTAAGTCTGTGAAACTTTGTTTTGGGAGCTCTTTCATTGGGTGAGTATTTATTTATGACCATTTTGTATTCCTGAAAGATTGGTCTTTTCATCATTATGAAATGTTCCTCTTTTATCATTGATCATAATACCTTCTGTCTTGAAGCCTGTTATACATAAAACCACACCCACATTCCTAGATTTACTATTTGTGTCATTTTTTTTCATCTTTTCTCTGTGTTTATAGTTAAAGTTGGTTAACTACAGATAACATCTAGATAGAGCCATGTTTTAAAACTGATGTTGATGATTGTGGTCTTTTAGTTAGAGAATTTCATCCTTGTAAAATTTAGTGTACTTATTGGTATTGTTGGATTAAATCTTCCATTTTACTGTTGTTTTTCTGTTTATCCCATGTATAGTTTGTTTTTTGTTCTTTTTCTGCCTTCTTTGGATAATTTAATCATATATTTTATTTTGCTTTTCAATGCTAATTTTTTTGCATTAGCTTTTAATGGTTGCTCTAAGAATAAATTATAATAACTTTTTACAGTTCTCTTTGCACAATATTATATCACTTCCTATTAAATATAAGTACTTTATACCTTCCTATTCCCTGTACTTTATGCTGTAGTTGTCACATGTATTACTATAGCTGCATTCTTCTTAAACTCCACAATAGAGTGTATTTTTGTTTGTTTGTTTGTTTTAAACAGTCATTTTCAAAGAGAAAAAATAGTGTTTGGTGTTTATCCATATATTTATCACTTCTGGGACTTAAGTTCATTCCTGGAATTGTCACTAACCACACAAGGGAATGTCTTAGTCTATTAATGCTCAGGAAATAGCATCTCTACTCTTCATCTAGAGCAGTCCCTATTAAGGAAATACATATATTTTTTAAAAAGTGCCCCAGAGCCTGCAACCAGTTTTTCTAGACAACTGAAAGAAAGCAACAAGAACAACCTTTACCTATTTGAGTGGAGAAATGAGAAATGGAGAACATCAACCAGAGCTGAAGATTTTTCTGATCGAGCACCCAAGGACTTGTGGGAAATGATTCAGCGCCTCATTAAGGTTATGACATGCACATCCTGTGCTGTGCCCCCCACCTATTAGGGCTTAATAAATACTAATAATATTTATTCTCTCCTTTAGGTCAAGGTTTTTCAACCTGCTTGTCTAGACATTGCTGTTTAAAAGGAACTGTGATTTGCTTGTAGATACAATGCGTTTGTAAACACCTGAGCAGAGGTAGACAGGGCAGTAAATCTTGGTCAGAGCTACACTTTGGACTGTTGCAAGAGAGACTGCAAAACTGTTGGAATAATGAAGCAGATGCTGGCTGCCAGGTTCCAGAGTTCCATCTCCAGCAGGCAGAGTCTAGCAGTAAATTAGCTTATGTTTCAGCTTGGCAGTTGGCACTTGGTTCATTTGTAGATGCTAATTGTAATCTGATGTTATCAGCAGCAGGTAATTGAAATGGGCTTGATGAATTACTTAATTTCTTTTAATAGCTGAGTCTTCAAGAACTGAATAAAGAAGATAAGGTGATCAAGAAGAAAACACAACCGCTCTATCTTTCTAATTAGTGCTTGGAGGTTTTTTCTTCTTTACACAAATGATTATGAACATGTGAGGCTGAATAGGTTTATGAGTCAAAAACCCCTGTGGGAGCAATTCCCATTAGGAAGCCCAGTCCTGAGCATTGATAACACTTCTGTTAGGACTTCAGAAAGGAATACATGAGTGATCATTTTGGAGAGCATTGATTTCTGAAGACAATTTAAGTTTCCCAAATGTAAGTGGGTGCTCCCTGTGGGAGTGCTTCCACTTTGACACTCACGCTACCATCAGCTCCTCTTCTGTGGCTGTTTTCTGTGAGTCGTGTTACCTGGCACTGTACAGTGAACAGGGGAGCCTTGCAATGATGTTAGTCATTGGCTCCTGCCTGTCCTTAAGTCTTTCCATCTGTAGTAGCTCTTGTGTAGGCTTTTCTTTGCCAACCAGTGGTGTCACAAAAATGGTGGGTACAGATGTGACCCTGGGTCCTGCCATCTGTGCTGGACAGTGCATTTTGGACCTATGCCATGTGACTTCAATGAGCCTTCTTTTGGAACCATTTGTTTCTGTTTTTAGTCTCATTCACCCTGTAAGGAATCAGTCTATTGGGGGGGGGGGTGGACTTTTGTAGAATTTACTTTTCACCTTGATTTTTTTTTTTTTTTTGAGAAAATCAAAGCAATAGCATAGAACATAGAGCATTAAAACTGGGTCATTAGACATTTGGAAATGATGAA